TCGCACTAGTTTGGCACTCCGAATGGGTCATCCTCACCATCGAGTACTCAATTTTCTTTTACATAAGTACTCCTTATCAAAACCTTTAAATTTATCGAGTCAATGCTTGTCATGTCCATTAGGAAAATCTAGTCGTCTATCTTTACCTTTATCAAACAATCCAAGCACGAGTATGTTAAATTTAATTTTCGAGTGATGTTTGGGGTCCCTCCCCTACTACTTCGTTGATGGTTTTAAATATTATGTTATCTTTGTTTATCACTTCTCTAAATATATATGGTTCTACCCCTTATGTAAAAAATCAGATGTTTATAATGTTTTCATTCAATACCAAAAACTGGTTGAACGTCGGTTTAACCGCAAAATCAAACAAGTCCAAACCGATTGGGGTGGAGAATTTCTAGGACTAAATAAATTCTTCCAAAATATAGGAATCGCCCACCGCATTATATGCCCTCACACACATGAGTAAAATGGTACCGTAAAGAGACGACATCGCCATATTTTGGAAACGGGCCTCACTTCTTAGTAGAGGCCCATGTTCCCAAATAATATTGGACATACGCCTTTGACACAGCTTGTTTTCTTGATTAACATAATGCCCTCTCCTATCACCAAATATACATCACCATTTGAACTCGTGTTTAAGAAAAGTCCGGATTACTCCTTTCTAAAAATTTTTTGTTGTCTCCGTTTTCCATATTTAAGACCTTATAACAAACATAAAATTGATTTTCGATCCGCACCATGGATTTTCTTAGGATATAGCCCATCACATGTGGGCTATCATTGTTTTGACAAAACCAAAAATCGCATTTACATTGCTCATCATGTCCGGTTTGTTGAGTCGATATTTTTGTTTTCACAAATTCACTCGTCCGCCACAAACACAAGTTCATCCACTTGTTTCACTCCCGTGGCTTAGTGTCCCACTCGGGCCACCTCTATTACTCCAACCGGATCAACATCACTCCACTACATTGCTATGTAATCCACTTCAAAAGCCACCTCCACAAACCCCCATGGCTAGCCCCCAAACACCACACACCCAAATAGACATATTACTACCCCACCAACCCGTAACAACCCAAACTCAAAACTAAACCGCACCTCACCCTCCCATTATCCCTAACTCCAATAGCCCAAATTGCCACTCCCAAAATCCAAGCTGCACCTCCACCACACCGGTATAAATTTACAGTTAGATTTTAGCAAGTATGACTTGACTAACTAGTGTGTAGGTAGTATTACAAATTCATTATCCAAAGGGGAGCCGAAACAAACCCATCTTATGGTTTTACGAAATATGGGTCCAAAATCCTCTCTTGCGGTATTTTCTCAAGCAATCCCGGAAAGTCCTACTTGCTATACGAAGCTAAAAACCATGCGGCATGGAGAATGGCTATGGAGTCGGAGATTAATGCCCTCTTGAAAACCAACACTTGGTCCCTAGTCCCCCTACACGGGCCATGAACATTATAGGGAGCAAGTGGGTCTTCAAAACCAAAAAACATGCGAGATGGAAGCATAGAAATGTAAAAGGCAAGGTTAGTTGCCAAAGGGTTTCACCAACGAGGAGGGGATTGATTTTGGGGAAACTTTTAGTCTAGTGGTTAAGCCCGCAACTATTAGAGTTGTTACGTCCTTAGCAGTCTCATACAATTGGCCCATCAAGCAACTCGATGTGTACAATGCATTCCTAAATGGCACCTTACATGAAGTAGCCTATATCGCCCAACCAGTGACCTTTGTTAACTCTCGGTTCCTTGACTACGTCCGTAAGTCGCATCGCTCTCTCTATGGTCTTAAACAGGTCCCACGGGCTTGGTACTCTTGTCTTCGGGACTTTCTCCTAAATTTTGGCTTTGAGGGATCTAAAATAGATTCTTCTCTATTTATTTACAAAGCCGGGGATTACGGACCATTCCTACTAGTCTATGTCGATGACATCATCATTACCGAGTGACCATTCGACTTTTTTAGAGACAATAATACATGCTCTAAACTCCAAATTTGGTACACGAGACCTTGGTGATATTAGCTTCTTTTTAGGCATAGAGGTGATTAAAACATCGATAGGCATTATAATGTCTCAACGTAAATATATCCATGATCTCCTTACTAGACAGGGAATGCTTGATCGCCGCCCCATCACCACACTCATGCCCACCACTTCAAAACCGAAAAATGGAGATGCTGAATTCTTCTATGATCAAACTTTATATAGACGAGTTGTAGGTGCCCTTTAATATGCTAATCTAACTAGACCGGATATTGCATATGCTGTCAACAAAGTGTGTCAATTCATGCACCAACCTACTTCGAACATTGGGTGGTCTGTCAAACGCATCTTGTGATACCCGAAGTACACATATACTTATGGTTTGCACATTCGAAAATCCAACTCTTAACTATTGACGAGCTTCTCGATTTAGATTGGGCGAGTTCTTTGGATGATAGAAAATCTACAAGGGGGTATGCTTGTCTACTTAGGATCGAATTTAATCACTTGGAAATCCTCCAAGCGGAAGATAGTAGCCCATAGCTCTACCGAAGCCGAGTACAAAGTCGTCGTAAATCTTGCGAGTCGAAATTACTTGGGTCATGTCTTTACTAGGTGAGCTTGACTCCACACCGACTCACAAGCCGATTATTTGGTATGACAATATTGGAGCTACTTATTTCACAAGTATACCTATTGTTCCATGCACGAACTAAACACGTGGAAATTGATTTTCATTTCGTCGGAGACATGGTTACAAGGGGGAGCTTGCACGTAAAGTTCATTTTCATACAGGATCAAATTGCGGATATTCTAACCAAACCTCTTTCCACTCGCCCGGTTTGAATTCTTGAAGGTCAAAATCACTCGTTGGAACCCATCCACGATCGGTTTGTGGGGAGTATTAAGACAAGAGCTGGCCACAACAAGATCTGTTGCACTTCGGAGATAAACTCTACTACGGTGTTAGAGTTTGTTACTTACAAGAACTCTGCTGCAGAGTTTGTTAATTACTTGTACTCTCTCTAATTCTTATCCATTGTATTATCTAGAATTCTAGTTAAACTACACTTGTACATATATATAAAGGACATGTTAAAGTCCTAATGAAATAAAGCTGAAAAATTACTCTTCAAACAGTAGCATAAGAATTGATTGTGCCCGACAAGAAAGAACTAGCAGTGTTTTGCAGAAAGTAAAACACAATGACTTATTCAACACCACCGAATATTATCGAATTCAGATTTAACAATACCGGATGCCTATAACTCCCAACGCCAACTGTTTAGAACTGAGAAACAATGGGCTGTAGTCCAACAAAATGACCTTTTCCAAAGCAGGCAAGTGGATGCCACCAAAATCAACATGAGCTGGATGACCTACGTACTCTGCAATGCCCTCATGAGTTGATCCAACTTATTCATATTAAATGGTTTCCATTTCTTGTTCACTTGACCAGGTAGTCTTTTAATTTTCCTTTCTCAGAAGCTAGAAATTTTCTCTTTAATTTTATGGTTCTATTTAGAAGGGGAGAGGTTACCTATTTATGATAATAGCCGTAAATGAGTAGATGTTGTAATTCATATAAGTTTGTCAAAAAAAAAAACCCACAAAATTAAGTGATATTTATTTTGAACAATCCCACAATAAAAATTCAAGCTAGTTTGGTTTGAAGAACAAACATACAAGAAATCTTGTGATAGCATTGAAACAAAAACCCCAATATAAATTAAGAGGATACAGAGATAGAATAAAACTTTGCATGATATGTAAGATTATCCCTGTGTCAATAAAATTCTTATTTGAATGTTGTGTGTCTTAAGCAAATTTACCACCAAATTACTGCCTCTCCTTCTAATTATAATGCATGACGTCTATTTCAATTCCATGAACTCTATAGAATCAGAGGCCTCTCTTTATAATTAACAAATTAATTACGAGTGAGGTGGAAGGGCAGCTGTAAAGACTCCATAGTCGACTGGCATTCCAGGAAAACCTTGCCCTCAATCGAGTGTAAATGCCCTCAAGCCTTTGTCCCAATAGTAATAACTTAGGCTAAATTTAATTGTTTAAGTCCAGCTGTACTATCCCTCTCCAATCGGATAGGCTAGGTCTGTAGTGTTATGATCATCTTAAAAGGTTTTATCTATCAGTTTGATGAGTTAATGATTAATCTATTCAAGTTAATTTATTCAAGTTCAGGTGCTAAATTTACTTGTTTAAGTCTAGTTGAAGTACCCTTCAACAATTGAATAAATTAACTTGTTTAAAACTTTTGAGAGAAGTTCTCACATTGAATGAGAATCCTTTAGATTGTGAAGCACAAATCTTTGAAATTGTAAATCCTGGTGATCATTGTAAATTATAATTTAACAGTTCGTTTAGGAAAGAGGAGGATGGAGGAGAATGGCATCTTAACCTTGTTTTGAACGAAAATTTTTAATGAAGGGGGAGGAGAATGGAGGTTAATTCATTTTTAATGCAGATGCTAAAAGAATGTCAGGAGCTATTTATGATAATAACCGCAAATGAGTAGATGTTGTAATTCATACAACTTTGTCAAAAAAAACCATAAAATTAAGCGATATTTAAGGCATATTTTCAACAAACCCACGATAAAATTTTAAGCTATTTTGGTTTGAAGAACAAACATACAAGAAATCTTGTCATAGAATTGGAACAAAAAGCCACTATAAATTAAGGTGACAGATTGGAGTTAGGCATTGCAACAAAAACACTTGAGATCAAACTTGTGTTGTCAAAATAGCAGTTTCTCATCTCTCGTTATATTTTTCTATGGCAGCATTGTGGATTTTGTTCTGTCTTATTTTTATACCACAGTGGGGGGTGTGCTCTTCAACGTTAGAAAAAGCAAATGTGCCAGTTAGCTACAAAACATTGAATTTCAATCTTGAAACTGCAAGCAAGTCAAGCTACACAACATTTGTCATTTTTGCGGGATAAACTGAAGGGCACTAAAGAGTACTATGGCATACCAATGTTGCCTGAGCCTTCCAAGGCTAAAGATCTAGAGCAGCGCTTTCTATTAGTTGGGCTGAATGTTACAAAGGAGAAATCTATCACGCTTGCACTAGATGTCAACAATGTATATGTGGTGGGTTATCTTGATGATAAATATCGAGCTCATGTCTTTTTCGATGCTTCTAAGATTGCAAAGGATTCTCTTTGGAAAGATGCAAAAGAACGCTTACCTATTAAGTACCCAAGTACCTATGGAGGAATAGAAGGGAAAGCTAATCCTCGATCAAAAGTTGAATTGGGGATTGAAAAGCTAAAATTTGCCATCCTTTCTGTCTTTGGGAAGCAACAGATCAAGGAGAATCTTGAGGCCAAACTTCTTCTACTTTCAGTCCAGATGGTGTCGGAGGCCACACGGTTCAAATATATTGAGAAAATGGTACTCAATAGTATCGAACGAAAGGGAACATACAAATCTTTTTTCCCTAATCCCTTAGTGATTAGCTTGGAGAACAGTTGGCAAGACCTCTCTAAAGGTGTTCGAAATTCCAATAAAGGAGTCATTTCCCCAGCAGTTCAATTAATAGATCCCAACAATAAACCCTTCAAAGTTGACAAAGTGCAAGCTGTAGCTCCCTACTTGAGCCTTATGAATTATGAAGTCGAAAAACCGATTGTGTCGGATCAGCCATCTCAAAACATGGAAATAGCAATTGACACCATCTTATGAAAAGCAGGATTAATCAACAGATGTTAGATGAAAGTCTTATTCTATATTAATTAGTTTCATGAAGAGTCACTTGTTATATGTAGTGTTTTAGTTCTTAAAAAAAGGAGTCATGTATCTTGTAAGCAACATAAATAATACCAGCAGTTTGATTTATCTTTTCTATCTATTTTTATTGTGTTCGGGTCTAAAATATCACGCACTTGCAATGGAATATACGACCACTTCAAAGCTTCAGAACAAGGTAGATGGAGAGGCTGTCAGCTATTTCTTTTAATATTTTCAAGGCTAAAAGAAACCGTAGGCTAGTGGTGCTTTCAAATGTAAGCTATTTCTTTTGATATTTTGAAGGCTAGATGATCAATGAACTTGTCATTAATTCTATGTTATAAGAAAGCATGTTATTCATTCAAGAGGAAGTGAGAAAAAGTTTATGGATATCAGCCATCGAGAGAGCCTTTGGCGATGAAGTTATTTGCAAGCTGTTTCTTGTGATTTAGATCTAAAGTTCTTGATAATGCTTAAATACATATGTTTAAATGGCTAAATTCCCCTACATTTTACTAGTTTGAGATGTCTAAATGATAAAACTTAAGTGCCTTATGTATTCTATGTGCTAGGTGTGGAACTGATTGAAAAATTGTGTTAAAAGAGTTATATAAAGAGAATTTACGATCGAGCCAATTCAGCTACTTGGAAAACACAAGAAGTGTGGGCACGTTAAGTTTATTAGCATGGCCACGCTAATACAGCGAACATAGAAGCACAAGGACCCGAAGGCGCGGGCACGTTACAACTTGACGCGAGCACGCTGAAATCTGCAGAAACGGACAACGGATCGTAGAAAGAAACAAAACTTGCATGATTTGCCGGAAAAAGACGCCGACCTACCAAAAGAAGAGAGAATATTATGTACCCTTTTTAGGAAATAGACACCTTGTATAAATAGAAGCCTAGCGAGACTAGGGCGAGAGAACTTTTAGGTATTATTCTCATAAGAGGCGGCCTTATTTTCTCTCTCTCTAGCTATGGTGGTCGCCATGAGCAGCTAGACCCTTTTCCTTGGTGAAGGTAACTGAAGTTTTTGGAAATCAAAGATTTTGAGGTGCTTAAACGTTAATGTAAATTAGTTTATTTATTTCAAGTATTGAACTTTCTTCTATGCTTATTTTCATGATTATTTGGGTTAATTTCTAATGTGTATAGTTAGCTTATTAGTTTAAATAATCTATAGCTAGATCGAATATTGAATCCGTAATTGTTCAATCCCTTTGATTTGTATAGCAATTAGGAGTGTATGGTTTGCTTGTGTCGAAACTAATGACTCTTAGGAGGATTGTTCAACTAGATTAAATGCAAGTACATGTGTTGAGTTATCTTGCTTTGTCGGTCTTTCTAATACATAAAGCTATTGTTTGATTAAATCTTAGATTGTATCTAGGGTTGTTAAATAATGAGGGTTGATTAGAATACATGTTTCTAGTTGGCTAATCATAAGGAAAGATTGATTTCAATATCACAACAAATATTTGAATGGAAATCGATATTTCGTGCACCAAGGATAAATCTCAAGTTCCAAAAGTGGATGTTACCCGAACCAAGGTTTGTTTACTTAAATATTTACTTTAAACTCGTTTTCTAAATTTAATTTGTTTAGTTTCGGTTATATCTCAATCAAATCAAAACCCTCCTTTTTTTTTATTTTATGTTTCTTCTAGACTTGTGACGACTAACGCAATTGAATTCCTCGTGGGATCGATCCCTGCTCTCCCTTACTACATTTATGTTATAGGAGCTTAGGAGTTTAATTTGGGTGCACACGATAGCATTACACCAAATTTTGGCGTCGTTGCTGGAGAATTCACGATTGTTTATGTACGTTATAAGGTCTAGAAGCGCCGAAAACCCGATATTTGACCCGGAAATAGAACACACGAGTAAGAAGTCTTAGGAAAGCCACGTAGCGAGCAGCGTGCCCACGCCATAACTCGGCGGACGAACGAGTAAATAGAGCAACAAACAGAGGAGCCGGCACTCGCCGCAATCATGGAGAATGCACCTGCAAACAAAACACTCGGAGAGCTTGCGCCTCGACTTGGATCAGCAACCTCATTGCTTTCCCAGCTTTGCTGCCAACACTACTTTTGAATTGAAATCTAGGCTTATACATCTTTTGCCTAGCTTTCGAGGGTCGACGGGTGAAGATCCTCACAAACATTTGAAAGAGTTCCATGTGGTATGCTCGGGTATGAAACCGAATGGAGTCACCGAAAAGCAAATCAAACCGAGGGCATTTCCTTTCTCTTTGAAGGATGATGCCTAAGGTTGGCTCTATTACTTACTCGCTGGAAGCATAACTACTTGGCATGAGATGAAGAGGTTGTTCTTGAAAAAATTCTTTCCGGCCTCAAGAGCGACCGAGCATAAGAAAAGAGATTTATGGCATTAGACAACACAATTGGAGAATCATTGTATGAATATTGGGAGCGTTTTAAAAAGCTTTGTGTAAGCCGCCCACACCACCAAATCACAAATCAGTTGTTTGTCCAATATTTATATGAAGGACTTTTGTCATCCGATTGAAACATGATTGATGCAGCAAGTAGTGGTGCTTTAGCCGACAAAACACTCGAAGAAGCAAGAACTTTGATAGCAAACATGGCATTAAACACATAGTAATTTGGAACCGGATTCGACTATGCCACTCGGCGAGTAAATGAGGTAAGTACTTCTTCCCTTGAAAAGCGTTTTGATGACCTTACTCGCTCTTGTGCGTCAATTGGCGGCGGGAAAAACAGAAATGGCAAAGGCTTGTGGAATTTGTTCGGCGGTAGGACATGCAACGGACATGTGTTCGACTCTCTAAGATGATAACCTTGAACAAGCAAATGCCGCAGGAGGATTCCCGGGACTCGCCACAACGAAATTACAACCCTTTTTCCAACACATACAACTCGGAGTTGGAGGGATCACCCTAACTTTCGCTATGGCAATGCCCCAATGAATTAGCCCACCAATAATTTTCAGCCATTCAAGTAGCGAGTAGCCTCCTAAACAAGCGACCACATGCTCAAACTTTTGATTCGGGTATGTCTCTTGAAGATATTGTCAAAACCTTAGCTACTAATACCGTAAAATTTCAACAAAAGGCAAAGAATAGCATTCAAAACTTGGAGCATCAAGTAGGCCAATTGGCCAATGCTATCGACGGAATTGAAGTTCAAAATTCAAGCATGCTACCCTCACAAACGAGTAGTAAATCCAAAAGAAAATGCGAGTGCGGTAGTCTTGCAAAGTGGAAAAGAGTTGGAACCACCAAAGAAGGCACCAATTGAACCAATTCAGCAACACATTGAAGAAGAAGAAGAGGTGACGAACAAGCCTCTCAAAAGAAGGAAGAAACAATAGGTAAGTCTTCACCACCACCAAAAGGTAGAGTCCCCCTCCTTTCCCCGATGCTTTAGTTTGCACTCGTAATTTTAAAAGCAATACCGATTTGTATGAAATATTTCAAAATTGTGTGGTGAACATTCCATTGTTGGATGCAATCAAGCAAGTCCCTCGCTATGCTAAATTCTTGAAAGAATTATGCACGAGTGAAGAGGAAGCAAAGGCTTACAAGAGGGGAGAAAGTTAAGGTAGGTGAAAATATTTCGGTAATCATACAAAGAAACCTTCCCGAGAAGTACAAGGATCCGGGTATGTTTTGCATTCCATACACAATAGGTGATGCTGACATTAAAAAGGCCATGCTAGACTTAGGAGCTTCCATCAATGTTATGCCATACTCCATATACATCACTCTTAACCTTGGACCTTTAGAGGAAACAAATATTGTTAATCAATTAGTCGATAGGTCCACTTGTTCATCCTAAGGGAATAGTTGAGGATGTACTTGTGCAAGTTAATGAAAAAATGACTTTTCCTGCTGATTTTTATGTCCTTGATATGGAAAATGATGATAATGCAGCACCAACTTTGTTAGGTAGGCCTTTCTTGAAAACTTGCTCGAACAAAAATTGATGTCTACAATGGTACCTTGACCATGGAGTTTAATGGTGAAATCATAAGATTTAATATCTATGATGTCATGAAATATCTCGATGTTGATTATCCTTTGTATTCGGTTAATGTAATTGATTCTCTAGCACAGGATATGTTCGAAATGATGGCAAAGATGAGTTGGAGATAGTCAATCGTGAGCACCTTTTCAAAACAAGTAGTGAGTTGCGGCTCAAGTCTAAAACAAAAGAGGCCATGAGTCGAGATGAACAAATTTGAGGAGTTAGAAGGCTCTAACAACTTGTCTTATATTGAGCTTTCGGTACCTACCGAGCAACTTCGGCCATCCGTGTTGCAAGCCCCGATTCTGGAGCTAAAACCTCTTCCCGACCATCTCAAGTATGTGTATCTCGGAGATGGAAAGACACTACCTGCCATCATCTCAAGCAAACTTCAAAAGGAACAAGAGGATAGACTTGTACAAGTGCTCGAAATAACACAAGATAGCAATAGGTTGGACCATTGCTGATATGAAAGGAATCGATCCCTCTACATGCATGCATCGAATTTGTTAGAAGAGGGAGCCAAGCCATTTCGTCAACCACAACGAAGATTGAATCCTTCCATGATGGAAGTAGTGAAGAAAGAAATTCTGAAACTACTCCAAACAGGGGTAATTTATCCAATTTCGGATAGTGCATGGGTGAGTCCGAGTGCAAGTTGTCCCCAAAAGAGCGATATCACAGTGGTAAAGAATCAAAATGGAGACTTTGTCCTCACCGGAATTCGAACGGGTGGCGAGTGTGTATAGATTATAGAAAATTGAATGCGGTGACCCACAAGGATCATTTTCCCTTGCCTTTCATTGATCAAATGCTTGAAAGGCTTCGCTGGTCGTGCTTACTACTACTTCCTAGATGGTTATTCGAGGTATTTTCGGATTGCTATAGCTCCGGAAGACCAAGAGAAAACAACATTCACATGTCCTTTCGGAACCTTTG